CCTCAGAAGGGTGCTGGAGACGACTGTCTGTCACTTTGTCACCACTGGAAGGTGAGTGTTCAACCCTGAGGCATCACTGGCCCAGACAGTCCTGGTTTAATATCCCACGGCTAGGGGTCTGGCCTGTTCTAAACCCTGTGGCTGTTTATAACCCAATGAAAACGTGTGACTTAGGATAAAAACGAAGCTGTGCATCTATGGGAAGGAAGGTATGCGTGGTATCTGTCCTTTGAAGTATCGTTAATGATCAAACAAGAACTCACAGCATATTCTTTCCAGAGCAGTTTCGAGACACTACAGTCTGGAGAAAAAGCCAGAACCTCTGCTTCTCCTATGGGCAGTTGATTTTGTGCCCACCTGCCTCCTCCGAAGGACAGGAGTTAGCCTCCAGAATCTCCGGCTCACGGGCCAGAGGACGGTCCCCAGTGACTCGCCGGCTTCTCCTCAAATGTATCCTGCCTCACAGGTGCTTGCAAACACTGAACTGAGGGGATAAGTATTTCTAAAGTGCTCATACCCTATGCCCAGTGCTGCGACCGTGACAGCTATGGTTCCATCATTAGAGGTCAAGAAACCCAAGAACAGGAGATTAAACTAACAATTTACCAAGCATGGGTTAGCACCAAAGCTAGGCAGCCACAAGCAAAAATGAAAACGGCTAAAAGTGTTGAAAATGGCATTTGCCCATGTCCATTCCAGGTCCCTCCGCTGGGTCTAACACTTCCTCCAGTGAAGTCTGGCCCCTTTATTTGAAGTCTTCCCGGTTTCCGCTGCTGGGAACTCATTGGAGCCATTCTTGCAAGCTCCCTGCCCATTTTATCCACCTTTCACAGATCACCTCTTCACCAGGGCTTGAGTGACATGACATTTCCAAGGTAAAAGAGCTAGCTGGTGGCGGAGCTGGGATGCAAGACTATTAGGCCCCCAAACCACCCTCTCAGTCCATCACTCCCACCCTTCTTTTTTTTTTTTTTTTTTAATTTTTTATTTCTTTTCAGCGTAACAGTATTCATTGTTTCTGCACCACACCCAGTGCTCCATGCAATCCGTGCCCTCTCTAATACCCACCACCTGGTTCCCCCAACCTCCCACCCCCAACCCCGGCTCCTTCAAAAACCTCGGATTGTTTTTCAGAGTCCATAGTCTTTCATGGTTCACCTCCCCTTCCAAAGCACCGCCAACCTGAGACTGCACGGCGAGGGCTGCAAGAGTGGGGACAGGTCGAAATGATTGTGAACTTGTGTCCGATCCTGTGAGTCCGAACCCCCACCACCACAGTGGTGTTAGACTGCCCCAGGAGACCACTCTGCCCCCCCCCCAGCAGGTGGATGGCCCGTCACCATGACAATGTTGATAGCTCCTCCCCCTTCTCACTCGCATCCCCCTCCTGTGATGGTCACTTGGCTTGCCTTCCAACATAGGTAAGGAACGTGATGCCCGTCCCAACTGGAACACGGAGACTGGGAAAGGCGGCATCTAAGCACGGGGCCAGCCCTCTCCTCATTGGGGAAGAGCCAACCAGACAATGAAAAGGGTCTCCACGGGACAACTGCGCATTTACACAACAGTCATTCGGGAGGAACATCGGTGCCAGATCCCAGACCTATGGCTGAGTCCAGCGCGTTCTCATTCCTTTCTGAGGCCGGGCCTGCTGCGTGGTTTCATTTAATTGTGTATTTTTATCTTTTGGTATCTGTGGCCTGATGCCTGTAGGCAGTAAATGCCCTTTTCCATCAGTTCAAGCTAGAAAATGTACCTGCCATAGCAGTACTTGCTTCGCTGGGCTGCTGACTTATTTTAAGAACTAAATCTTTCCAGTTATTTTTTCACTCTGGGGTGTCCGCGCGGCAACACCCACCTTTGCAACGTGCGTCCGGGGCAGAGCCCTCCTCTGCCGTGAGAACGTAGCGCCACCTCGTGCCCGCGCGCTCCTCTGCAGCCGAGATCAAGCCCGCCGTAACCTTGACAGTTTCGTGCTCTTCCGGAGAAATTTCACACGCGCTCTTCCCTCCTCACATAACAGAGCTTGCGTGGCAGTGTTCTACTTATCTTCTCTTAAAGATAAGTAAGTTAAGACACGAGACTCCGGCGAGAAAGCTGAGTAAGTTTTGCACTTGCCAACTCGGTGTCGTACTTTCCAAGTTCGGCGGCTGTCATTTATAAATGATGTGCTAGCTCAGGAGAGAGAAGACTCATGCACGTGCCAGGTGCCCAGAGCACCACCGTGGAGAAAGACAGCCCTCCCGCGGGACCCGGTCCAATCGTCTTGGCGTTATTTAAGCCTTTCATACCAGCCTCCCAAGCTCTAGGTGCAGGATTTTCCTCACAGCTTAGGACAGGGACTCATACGTCAAGAGGTAGAAAGTCCATCCTCTGTGGGGACTGAAAGTAGAGATGGAGCTGCTCACTGTCCCCTAAACTCACTGTCCCCCTGCTTCCTCATCAGTGTAAGAACCAAGGACCGTCATCCTAATACTACCCAATAGCCCTGCCCTTCAAAATCCCAACTCTTTTCCGATATATAGAGCAGGTTTTTATCCTTGGTACCAGGATAGATAATTCTGGGGGGTGGGGGGGAGGGAACCTGTCCTGCACACTGGAAATGTTTAGTAGCATCTCTGACCAATACCCACTAAATGCCAGTAGCATTCCTCTCCCCACCTATTATGGCAATCAACATATCTCCACACATTGCTAAGTGCTCCCTACAGGTGCAAAATTCATCCTGCTTGAGAGTCACTGCTCTAGAAGGCAAGTACATCAGAATATAACAATAAAACTAATAACAACTCCTATGACTGCTACCAGTTAAAAGGCACAAATTGTATGCTAAGAGCCTTATGACAATATTCTATGTAATCTTCTGCAATCAAGAAACCAATCTGTGTTAACTCTCCAAGGAAATATTTACATTGCAGACTGAAGCTCAGAGAGGTTAAGTAACATGGCCAACGTCACACAGCTGGTAGAAGAAGAGCTACCATTTAAAACCAGGCTTTTGTGACTCCAAAACCTGAGCCTGTCACCATCTCCAGATCCTGGGATCAAAGATTACAAATGTTTCTGGAACATCTCAGTTTTCTAGAGTATGCCAACACTGTTCAATACTATGTCCAGATTTATGTTTAAAGACATAAACATTGTAGCTATTCTCTCTAGGAACACCAATCCTAAGTGTTAGTTAGAGGAGTTGTTGTTATAGGGTCATGGAGAGAGCCCTGGGTCCAAGTTTAGACCCTGGGGCCAGTAACTGACTGTAAGGTCTTTATTTAGGGTCAATTATTTAAGCTCTCAAAGTCCCTGTTTATTCATCTACAAGACGAAAAGGATTAGTTCAATCAGGTTCTCAGCTGTGGCTGCACACTGAAAATATGTGCAGAGCACTGAAAAAGGAATGCCTAGGCCTCAGCCCAAGCCAATTAGACCAGAATTTCTGGAGCTTGGGCAGTGACGTTTTTAAGCCCCAAGATAACTAATGTGCAGCCAGAATTGAGACCCCTGGCGCTGGATGAACTCTAAGATACTCAGGTTCTGTGTTTATGTCTTTAGGCCCAACTCCCCTCAGGCTGGATGCCTTCTTTTCTCCCTTCCTACCAGGATCATAAGACATACGAAGGCTCTTTGGGGGAGTTTCTTGGTCTCATGAGACCCTTTGAACAATTTCCTGAGAGGCCCTCACTGTCGCAACTGCCATCTGGTCCCTGAATTAACCATCTCCAATATCATTCTGCCCACCAAAACTATGGACCCCCACCCCACTGTCTTGTGGTTGCTGGGGGTTGGAAACTCTTCCAAAGGACTGCAGGGGTTGTGGGGGGAGGGCAGGGAAAATGACAGAAGACAGCTGTGTCATCTGAAAGACTATCCTCTTCCCAGCCTCGTTGAGCACTTGCCCTGTCCGACTTGAATAATTCTAATCCCTGTCTTTCAATAGTGAGAAAATCTCCCCTTTCTGGATATGACTCACCCACTCCTGTATCAGCTCCCAAAGGAGAGTGACAACGTCTCACTCCGCAGGTGCCTGAGAGGAGCTCTGGCCACAGAACCTCGGCTTTGGGCCCTCTGAGCTTTACCCCCTCCTCTGCCTCCTGTCACCCAGCCTTCTGTGAGGGACCCTCTCACCACAGGGGGCTTCGCACACTACTTCCAGGTACAACTGGTAATGAAAGAAACGTGTATCCGTGAAGTACTCCCCAGATGCCAAGTTCGTCTATTTTCATCAGGTTTCACCTATTTTTCCCGGGTACCCACATGAGACGTTATTAGTGTTCACATTATTTTTATCATCATCATCACCACCACCATCATCATCACCACCATCATCATCATCAACCCATTTTACATGTGAGGGACCCGAGCTGTCTATATTCACTGTTCCTGCTCCCCAGCCGTGGTCGCTGCGATTGCACCAATTATCCGAACGACGGTGGCGTCCCCCGCTGGCCCATGAGCTCTGCAAGGGCGAAGACCACCTCTGGGGTGGCTCACCACGCACCGGCCCCTTGCCTGAGGGAAAGTCGGGCTGCAAAGACAGCGGAGAGGCAGCTTCCTGGGAAGTGGGCAGACTCTCAGGAGTGCGGGCCGTAAGGGACACAGAAGAGAGTCTTCAGGGAGGAGAAAGTGGTCAGTGGGGACAAAAGCTGCCAAGACACCAAGGTTTATCCACGCGGGGGGCGGAGGGGCCGCCGGGAGGGGGATGGAAGAGAGAGGGCAAGTTGAGTGGGTGGGAGGTGAGGAAGGAGGGGACCAGGGCAGACAACTCACTGGGGCTTTTATTTCCTATTCTTTCATCGGATACTTTCTGTAGGAGAGACTGGAGCGTGTTAAAAGCTGATGGGAAGGGTCCCGCGGAGAGTGAGAGGCTGGATGTTCCCGGAGTCGAGGGCAGAGCGGGGATGCCGGAGAGGAGAGAAGGGAGAGGAGGACGGCTTTCTCCGGGGCCAGGGACAGCTCCTCGGTCGCAACCCGAGAGAAGGCAAAAAAGCGGGCGGGCCGCTCACCTCCCCCGGCGGGCAGCACCTGCGGGGGAGGCGCGGCCGCCGGGTGGACCACACGCACCCTGGGCCGCACGACCCTTCAGCCCCTCGGCCCAGGTGAGGAACCCGAGCCTTGAGGATACAGTGACTCCCGTGCCGCCGGCAGGGGGCAGAGCCGGGCCACGAACCAGGTCCCTCCGCCGCTCCAGCCCGAGGTCTCCCCGGGGGCAGCCGGCGGCCCCCTGCAATTCCACGGCAGGAGGCGGGACCCGGGGTCTCCGCGTGTCTTCGAACTGAGGTCTGCCAGACCCCAAAGGCCAAGATCTTTCCTGCGCCCGCCGGGCCCCTGCTTTTGATCTGGAAGGGAAGAGACGCGAGGCTCGCGGGAGCCCACTAAGTGGGACTTTGTCTGAGCTTGTAGACTCGTTCTGCAAGCCAGGTATCGAGGTGGCGGGGCTAGGGGTACCTTTTCTCCGTCCTTCTCTTCAGTCCTCACCCTCCAGCCTCCTCCCTCCCAGAGCAACCTAAACAGCACAGGTAGTCCCGGTCCTATCGCGAAGCGGCCCAGCACCTGATCCAGTGCCGTCGGAGCGCATCATCCCGGACTCAGAATTGCATCTGAGTCCACCCAAAAGCCAGCAATCTAACTAGAAACCTACCCAAGGGAAGGCTTTCTGGTGCGGAATAGGATCAATATCCAGGAGATGAATTTTGTTACAATCATTTCAATAAGTGAGTGCGTTTCATCGGGCCACAGAAGTCCCGCCGACATTCACTACTGAGCTGCCTACCCACTTTCTGAGCTGTCCACCCTAAGACTTTTCCATCTGGGATGGTGAGAAGGGTTGTGTGCCCTGAGTTACTGGGAAGGATACTACCGCCCCTCCCACCAAGGATCCAGCCAAAGGGGAGGAGAGGGTCAGCTGGGACCAGAGCTCCTGAGCCCAGCATCCCAGGTTCTAAAGCTCTCCTGTCTGGGCCCTAGGTTCCTGCTGTCCTCCCCATCCAACAGAAAGGGAGGTGGGGGTGGGGGAGTGGGGTGGAAAAGCTCAGACACGTGGGCCAGGTGGCCAGCTTCATGCAATCTGTGCTGGGTTTACAAAGCAACATGAACAGCATCCCGCTTCCTGCCCCTCTCTTCTTAACTTTGTCTTCCCTCCGTCTGGGTTTCTGCTAGCCATGGGGGTCCCATCCCCGACCTTCCACCTCTAGCTGGGTTGTGGGTGGGTGTAAGAAAGTACCAGATCAGAGGAAGGACCCTCCACCTACTTCCCTCCTTCCCTGTCCTGACCCACCACCACCACCCCTGGCACCCACACTAAAGAGACTACCTTTATCTTGGACAAATTCAGGGAGCCCCTTTGCTCTCTCTTTTGGGTGGTGGGTTGGTTGGTTTGCACTTTGTTTGTTTTGTCTTTTGTTCTGTTTTGTTTTTTAACTTTCTTTGACCAACCTTCACAGTAGGAAACAAAAACCATGGGAAGTCCCAAACCCTACAATGGCAACGAGCCTTCTCTGACCATTGTACTACATGATGTGGCAAGCCCCTTCCCTTCCTGGACCAATGCTTCCCTGTCTTCAAAATGAACTGGAGCTAGATGAGCTTGTAAGTTCCTCCTGGCCCTTGCACTCTCACACCCTCTGACCTTGAGTTTGACTTTGAGACAGAACATGGCTTCCTCCCAGGAGGAGCCGGCTCTGGACAGTGATTCCAAGGAAAGGGTGAGAGAGGGCAGGAGCCCCTGTCCCAAGCCAATGGGAACGCAGTCCCTCCTGCCCTCCAGCCCTAGGGGCTGCCATAGACTCACCAGGAGAGAATGAGGGCAGGGGTGAGCAAAGGAAACTGTCGTCTTAAACCAAAAAGAACATAAAACAGCCAAGGGACCCTGCTGAGACTTCTGTTTCCCATCTTGTCCTCTCCTTCCATCCAAACTGGACCCTACGATGCCTTCCCTCCCTATCATGTTTGTTTCTGGCACTTCACAATTTCCTAGCACTTTCAAATTCACTGTTGGGCTGAATCCCCCAAACCTCTCAGAGATAGAGCCAAAATGATCACCTCCATTTCTCAGGTGGTGAATGTGTAAGTGGGCCATAAAGCCCCATCAGGAGGGGATGGGGAGAAGGAGGAGGGGACGTAAGATTCAATGGAAAGCCCTCCCAGACTTTTTCTCCTGAAGTCAAAAGCAGACTGAAGCCTTTATAGGATGTTCACCCTGCTTAGCCCTTCCTCACCTTGTCCTTTCATCTTACAGCCTTTATCCTACAGCTCACAAGTTAGAGTTGAGAGAAGGAGAGGCTCTATTTTTCTATCACATCTCTCCTCTTGCTGGGAGGTGCTGGGGATTCATCATTTGATCTGGAAAACAGTGGGGATGAAGCAAATGAAAATCGCTGGTGCGGTCTGCTAACCAGAGGCAGGCAGCGTCAAGGGAATAAAGGAAGCCTTGCTTCTGCCTTAATTGAATGCCTGACTTTGCATCTGTTACTGAGAAATTGTGCCCCCTCAAAATTCTTAGATGCAAGCCCTAACCCCCAGGACTTCAGAATGTGACCGATGTGAAGACAGAATCTTCACAGAGGTGATCAAGTTAAAGGGAGGTGGGCCCTAATCCAAGAGGACTCATGTCCTTATTAAAGAGAGGGAATATGAAATGCCATGCACAGGGGGAATGTCCATACATATTCACGTTACCGTTCCCTCGGTAAACGGTTCTTTCAACAAAAAAGAATGAGACACAGTTTGAGGATCCCTGGTCATTAAAGAGCCAGAACAGAGCTTTACTTATCCATCCAATCTCCAAAGTCTAGAGCAATGGGAGTACTCATAAATACTGTTAAATCAATTAATTCATCCACAATCAATAGCTTATTTAACTTAGGAGAAGCAAAGACACTCCCCATAACTTCCCAGTAGATACTAAATTTGATACAATGTGTCATGTAAACAATGGCTTAGAGGCTTTTTTCACATGTAAAAGACTGACTCAGAATAGAATCAGAACATTTCATTTTTGCTTTGCATTTTTCCCTTCCAGCCCTTGTCTTTATGCATAACTTAAGGCAGGTATGATTTAATGTTTTGTAATCATAAACATAGAACTTTGACATTGGGTTGGGTTTTGTTTTTTTTTTTTTTTAATGCTTGTCTATTGAAGGCATTTTTCTCCAGCATTTCATAGTCTTTACCATTATCACTGATAATGGATGCATGAGGTCACTTGTTTTCAAACTGCCAGCTAAAGCAATTTTACTTCCAATGTCCCTGAACGAGAGAAGAGCAGGTAACGGGCAGGCTCCATAGCTCAGTGGTTAGAGCACTGGTCTTGTAAACCAGGGGTCGCGAGTTCGATCCTCGCTGGGGCCTCTTGTTGCTTTCCAATTGGTTGGTTTTTTTTTTTTTTTTTTTTTTTTAACATACATCCTCCCCTTTACAGAATAGAAATTCCAAAATGGAAAAACGATTTCTGAAAAAGCTACTTCTAGCAGGATTAAAAAATCACTCCTTCTGAAATGCAAATGATTGGCATCCTTCCAGTGCGTGACCCGGAAGAGAAATCCTGGGCCGACAGAAAGAGCAGGAAAAAGAAAGATAAGCCGTCCTCGGCGACCCGGCCCTACCAGGACCTGCGACTCGGTTCTCGACAAAGGAGACGCGAGGCCCCACAGGCTCGTTCTCAACGCCCTGCAAGTCGAGCCCCAGCCCTGCATTAGAAGCTGGAGGGGCGTGCGCGGCGGCTTCCCGGGGTGGCGGGCGGGGCGCGCCTGGGGCGCTGCCGGAGGAGGCGGAGGGCGGGGCCAGCGCTGCGCCTGCAGTGACGCCGCGCGGCCGGCGGGCGGCGCTGCCGCGCCGGCTCCCACTCGCCTCCCGGGAGGCCGGCGAGCTCGCGTCCCGGCCGCCCGCCCCGCTCCGCCCGAGCGCTGCCAACGTGTCCCGGGCGGAATCGGGCGTGGTGGCCGACACGTGGCAGCCGCACCCCCGCGTCCTGCCCTGCTCGCAGGGCCTGCCCCTGCAGAGGGAGGAGGGGCGCCTCCCGAAAGTAAACAACCGCGGGCTGCTGGAAAGCGGGCGTGTGCGGCCGCTCTCGCTTCTCCGCGGTTTCCCTGAATTAATTCCGGAGCGCCGCGGGACTGCGGCCACCAGAGTCTTTTCAGAACAGGCGGATTTTCCCCACCCCGGATTCCTTTTCCCGTATTTTGGGACCAGGGGCTGATAACGGACGATCTGCCACGTAGCCGCAAGCGTCCGCGGCCACCAAGGGTCTGAAGCGGGGCTGACGTGGACCGGGCTGTCCGCACGAGTGCAGTGCGCATCGGAGCTGGACGATACAGCACCAGGAGAACGTCAGCTCTCCCCCACTAGGAATTTTTGGTTACGTGCTGAAATGATACTGTGGATATACTGGATTAAAAAAATACGTAATTACATTAATCTTACCTATTTTTTTAATGTGGCTACTGGAAACCTTTACATGACACCCATGGCTCCCCTTTGCAGCGTCCGATTTCCGTTGGATGGTGCTGCTTCAGAGAGCCCACGACCTGTGACCTTGAGTTCAAGTTAATTCTTAACCTGTGCTCCACCAGGTAAACCTGGGCTAAGTCTTCATGTGTGGGTTTCCCAGAGCCAGCACTGTGTTTGGCAAGCAGTAAGGATAGAAATGGTTGAAGTGGAATTAAATATCTTCCCAACATAATAAATTCCACAGGGGCAAGGAAATGTCTTTTTTTTCTCTTCTTTCTTTTCCTTTCTTTTCGTTTCATTTTTCTTTCTTTTTTTTTTTTTTTTTTGAGATTTTATTTATTTATTTGACAGAGATCACAAGTAGGCAGAGAGGCAGGCGGAGAGAGAGGGGGAAGCAGGCTCCCCGCTGAGCAGAGAGCCCCTGAAGCTGGGCTTGATCCCAGCACCCTGAGATCATGACCTGAGCTGAAGGCAGAGGCTTAACCCACTGAGCCACCCAGGTGCCCCTCTTTTCTTTTCTTTCTTTATTTCATTTCTCATTTGAGTATGGGTGACAGTGTTGCATTCAGGTTGTAGGACATAGTGATTCAACTTCTCTATGCTGTACTCAGCACAAGTGTAGCTACCGTCTGTCACCATATAGCAGTTTTACAGTATCATTGACTCTATTCCCTAAGCCGTTTCTTTTATTCCCATGATTTCTCCAGTAACTGGAAACCTGTATCTCCCACTCACCTTCACCCATTTTGCCCATGCCCCCTCCTCCACCTCCCCCCCAGCAACCATCACTGTGTTCTCTGTATTTATAGGTCTGATTCTGCTTCTTGTTTATTCATTTGTTTTTTAGATTCCACACCTGAGTGAAATCATATGGTGTTTTTCTTGAGAATGTATTTCTTTTTTTTTTTAAGATTTTATTTATTTATTTGACAGAGATCACAAGTAGGCAGAGAGACAGGCAGAGAGAGAGGGGGAAGCAGGCTCCCTGCAGAGCAGAGAGCCAGATGTGGGGCTCGATCCCAGGACCCGGGGATCACGACCTGAGCCGAAGGCAGAGGCTCCAACCCGCTGAGCCACCCAGGTGCCCCAAGAGAATGTATTTCTGAAGTTGAGTTCGCTTTGGGAACCATGCAACTAGATGTTCTATCTTGGCTTGCAAGATTCTAGCTCTGGAACAGCACCCTCCTACTTTGGTTGGTTACTGGCCCTTCTGCAGTCCAGACAGCTGCTGCTAGGGATGCTGTGGAGGTGAAATGCTCAGAGTGCTCCGAGGAGATGGGCCCCGCTGGTGCAAAAACAAGACCCATAGTGATCCCACAAGGGTCAGCACTTCAATGCCTGAATGCCTTTTTGTAAGATCATTTCAGATCCTCAATTACCATAATACTGAGCCTGCTTGCTTTGAGTTACTCAATCCTCAAGTAACATAGCAGGAAAAAGATGCCTTTGAAGCACCCCAGTCCTCTTCCTCCAGCAGGACCATTACTTACGGCCCCTCCAACCCTCTCCCCAGCAGGCCTCTAAAAAGAGCAAGCACATGTATGCCTTTATCTGAATTTCTCAAAACCTTAGCCTCCAAGGAAGCCAAAACCATCTAGGCTATGACCTAAATGATTGTTCTCTCAGCACTGGCCCCTTTGTGACAGCTCACGGGCCTTGCCAGCCAATTTCTAGAAAAGAAAGCCACTTTGCCAGAGGGGGATACGCTGCTCCTTCCCTGCCCCCCCCCCGCCCCCCGCCAAGCTTCCTGGCATTTCAGGGAGACCTGTTCAGTTCCCTCCCCTAGACCTGCCACCCTCCTGTTCAAAACCTGTGTACAGAAGGCAGCCTAGAACCTGAAGGACATGGTCCTTTGATGCATGAATTCTGAGCACCTTCCCCCAAGGGCTCAAAACACTTCCAGGCCAGACCCTAGTTTTGCCACATGTCCTCAAAGAAAGATTTTACAGAAAAAAGTGAGACAAGTGAGTTCAAACACTTGTTCAAGTGGTCAGTCCAGTCTCCCCAAACTGACCAGGATGTCCAGCCATCTTTTGACAAAAGGATCCAGGGTAGAATTTCTCCCGCCTTCGTGTTGGTGTCTCATCTGAGAAGATGCTAAAAGTGTAAAATATCAGGGCTGGTTAGATCCTGAAGTTCATGCCTATCCTAGAGAATGTTCATAAGAGTTACAAAGATAGGCAAAACTAAAGAAAAACAAAAGCCATAAGCTAGGCCAAAGGAAACAGCTGAAAAAATTATCTAAAAATGATCTTCAGAAAATGATGACCGGTGTTTGACAGCTCTCTTAAAGGCAGAACAGGAGAAAAAGAATCAGAAAGAGGCCTGAGGTATTTAGATTAGGTTAGGTTAGCCTACCATTAAAGACTGCTAAAGAAAAAAATGGAATCTGCTTCTTTGGAAATCTAAAAAAAGCTGTGCAGGGTATGTCCAACCATATAGAAAGCAGTGATTACATGACCTCTGAAAATCCTCAACAACCCTGGCATTTCATGTTTTTGTTCTTAAACCAAACTGCCTACACCGTTCTGGATGATTTGCAGGATTTGGAGAACTTCCTAAAGACTGGGATGGTTTCCTCTCTTGGTTCTTTTGTTCCTCAAATACCTGTTTAAAAGCCACCGACCCTCACAGAGGGCCCCACAGGGGGGCAGGTGCTCAAGACATTGAGAGGGGCTTTGGTTCAAGTCCAGCTGAACGACTCCCTGTTCCCTCCTACTGTGGTCTAGGGCGAGTAGCTTAACCTCAGGAGACTCACTTTCCTCCTCTTCAACAGACATTACATGGCAACACATAACCAGCAAGGTTTTGAGGTTTCAGATAATGTATATAATCTTGGCACATAAGAAGTACTCAAAATGTAGTTATGTTCATGATGCTATCGGCCAAGGCAAATTAGGGGAAGCTGGAGTTTCGGACCAGGACCTGCCCCTAGTCAGTCTGTGAGCTACAGCCTGGGGCAAAGAAGACCATTTTAAAGGGGCTTTCCTCGAAACATGTCTCTACAGGCCTCCTCCTGGACCTGGGAAGAGGCAAGAGAGTGAAACAGGGCTCTTAGGCAAACTGTTGAAGCACACCAGATTTCTTAATGCCAGGCGAACATCCAAAAGATCAAAGGATACAGGACCGACGGAGCAAATATTGATTTATTACCTTAAGTTGTAGGCATTTATGAAGTAAGAGAATGCGCAGTGGGAGTCCAAGGCTAACCACTGCCCGAGGTTAGCCCAGCACCCTGGCCATGTGGGATCCGATGCCCCCGCAGAAGCAGAGAAGGAGCACCCATCCACTCAGATAGCAAGATTCCTGCAGAGAGGACAACTGCTCCCGCCCTAAGTCAAGTTCCTTCTACCTGCCCCACCTCCAGCTCTGCCTCCCATTCAGCTAATGCCCACGTTCAGCAGCCCCACGAGCAGCTTCCATGCGGCGAGGTGGTTCTCCCCTGGCACGTGCCCTGGTCAGCCACCTTGGCAGAAGAGGCCGAGGGAGACTTCTGCCAGCCCGCCTCAGCTGTGCTGATGGCCGGCCCTGGCCCCTGGGGGATTTTGGGCTTGGCCTCCTCTTGCCCTGGGGGCCTGGGGACAACATTCTGGCTCTCTTCTTGGTACCAGGCCTTTGAGACGCCTTCCTGCTGCTTGTGGGAGAAGCGGACTCCTTGGAGGGGCCTTTCTGAGACGAGGCCTGCTCTGGGCTGGAGGCTAAGGTTGCATTGGAGAATTTTCTAGCAGCTTTCTCCGACTGCTCCTTTAGTAAGTCCAAGACTGTCTCTGGGAAACAAACATTTATTTAGTAAGAAACAGAAATCCTGGCAAGTAACCCTAAGGGAAACACCACCCAGGACACCCACGACTACAGGAGGGTTCTTTCATAGAAATTCTTTTCAGGAGCATCTGGCTGGCTTAGTGGTAGAGTATGTGACTCTTGATCTCGGGGTTATAAGCTCAAGCCTCATGACTGGCCTTGATCTAAATATATTGCTTTTAATAAGTTCACTCCAGTGATCCATGGCTCTGGAATAGTTAGTCTCCCTCCTCTATCAGCCCTTCCTGAATCCCCACCCTGCCTCTGCCCCCTCTAAGGGCCCCTCCATCCCCTGGGCATCCTTCTCTACCAGAACGTCGGTGCTAGTTTTATTTCTCCATTTGATTGCGCTACATTTAACTCTGGGCTCCTCCAGGTCAGGTTCACTGCTGTAGCCCCAGGGATTAGCACAGCCACTGCTGCAAACTCAGGGCTGAATGAACAGTGCCCGAGACGAACTGATGGACAGACGGAGGACCACGGCAGAAGCACATGTGTACACTCCGCAATGCAGAGATGTAGAGACCGAGCCACAGTCACAGTCCCCATCCAGAGCATAAGACCTCGGCGGGAAACAGAACTCCCTCCCCGGGAGGACTGGAGCGTGTTGGGAAAGGGCACCGTGCCAGCGCCTCGAGGCCAGGGCCTAAGCCCGGGACAGAGACAGACTCACGGGCGAGCGGCCTGAACGGGACACGCTTGCTCTTGGTTTTCACCGGCACTGGCTTGTATTTGCACTTGCCGGGGGGTGCTCGCCTGAAAACAGAGAGAGAAAAGTGAGGACACAAGATTCTGAGGACGGGACCAGGAAGCCCAGGTCATACATTTGCAAGATTTGGATTCAGCTCTCCTTTATCCGGGGGGATAAATAATAAAATAAAATCTTAAAAAAAGAAATCACAGCACAGCCCCCGGGGACTGCCAGCCTCTCTGCCTATTAGAATAAGGACTCCGTAACTGCTGTCTCCTGGGCGCATCTTCTGAAATAAAACAGCCCCTGGAGACAAGGAGCACTCGCTATTCAGAGCAGACATGGAACTTTCAGGCCAGTCCCCACTGCCTCCTCTGCCTCCCTCGCTCCAGCTCTGTGTCTCCCTACTGTCACCCTCATCCCCCTCATCCCAGGTGGGAAAAAAAAAAGTAATTTTCTTTATTTAACAGACACTCACCTAGTGCTTCGGCGCCACATGAATGCTTCATACATATAACTCACCGAAACCTCATGATAACCCTAGGATCCCCATTTTACAGGGGGAAACTGAGTCACACAAAGATTAAGAAACAGGTGCAAGGTCACACAGCTAGTTGGTAGCAAAGTCAAGTTTTAAGCCCAGGTTCCAGGGTCTGTAACTCTCAAGGAGGGCAAGAAGAAAGGATGGAAGGAAGGGGGGAAAAATCACACGGAAATGAATCATTTGCTCCTCAAAATCTGTCGTAGGTGCATTCAGAGACAGCCAGGCCGTGTGCGTAAGCAGAACAGCGTCTGGATCCAGATCCAGACTCTGGAGAAGCTTTGCAGGTCCGTCTGGCTCCACATGATGACCACCGAAGAGAAGGAGAGATGCTGAAATGACCCTGCTCCTCGGTGTCCCTGTCCTGGGCCCCCTCTTGCTAGCTGTCCCTCAGGTGATTAAGTTCCCTTGGCCAAGCTCAGCTAGCTTCCCCGTGGAGTGACGGCACGAGCCTGTCCCCCGGGGGTTCTGTGAGCCCTAAAGGAGAGCCCACCTGCTCGGCACCCAGCACAGTGCCTGGCACACGGCGACACCTCGATGAGTGTCAGCCTGAGAGAAAGGTGAGCCCGTAGGCATGTCTTCCACGTGGACAGGCTGTAGCTGTTTTATGGCTGCTCGTAGGAGAGAAGGGAGCTCGATGATCCCCCAGCCAAACCAGGAAACTTCCAAAGGGCAGACAAAGTGATTCACACAGGAAACCTCTGAGGGTAAAGAGCAGAACTCCCCACCCAGCCACTGTCTGCCACCTGAGGCGCCCGAACTGAGTGCTGGGTTGGCTGTCCCCCAAGCATGGGAGACATGCAGACCCGGGGGTGGGGGAAGCCAGCCCAGTCCCTAAGTTGCCCCCTAGCAATCCTGCAGGTGCCATTCAGAGAGCACCTCAGGCCCAGCCTCAGGGACGGAGCTTCTTCCAGGAACCCCGAGAACACGGAAACCGAGAGCCTACTGCCCCAGGGAGCAGCACCGGGCCAGGCCCCTGAGCCCTGACCCACACGCAGCAGCGCCCAATGGCTGAATGTCGTCTGAACACCACCCCCCCCATAGGACCAGTGTAGCCGCACAGGGAACTCTGTCTTCAAGCTGATTTTGGGGGGAGACTTGCTTGCTTTGGGGCAGAATCCGGAGATAAATCCATGCACTGCCCCAGGCCCTCAGGCTGGATCCGCTGCATCTCCCTTCCAGGAGAGTGAGGACCACACGTTCGACACCCTTACAGATGGGAAGCTGTCCTATGGCCGTTGTCTGGGCAGCTGGTTAGCCTCTGAGAGAGGCTGGCAGAAAAGCAGAAGTCAACAGTATGGAACCCACCAACTGAGTAAATATTGCCACAGAATTCCAGCAAGGGTCGGGACGAGACACTAAGAAACCAGTTTGAGGTATTTGCCTAGACCCTCCTACGCTGTTGGTGGGAATGCAAGCTGGTGCAGCCACTCTGGAAAACAGCATGGAGGGTCCTCAAGAAGTCGAAAATAGAGCTACCCTACGACCCAGCAATCGCACTACTGGGTATTTACCCCAAAGATATAAATGTAGTGATCTGAAGGGGCACCTGTACCCCAATGTTCATAGCAGCAATGTCCACAATAGCCAAACTATGGAAAGAGCCCGGATGTCCATCGACAGATGAATGGATAAAGAAGATGTGGTGTATATATACAATGGAATATTACCCAGCCATCAAAAAAATGAAATCTTGCCATCTTGTAATGATGTGGATAGAACTAGAAGGTATTATACTGAGGGAAAGAAGTCAATCACAGAAAGACAATTATCATATGGTCTCACTCACATGTGGAATCTAAGAAACAAACAGGAGCACAGGGGAAGGGACAGAAAAATAAAACAAGAAGAAATCAGACAAGAAGACAAACTTTAAGAGACTCTTAACGCTAGGAAACAAACTGAGGGTTACTGGAGGGGAGGTGGGTGGGGGGATGGGGTAACTGAGTGGTGGGCATTAAGGAGAGCACGTGGTGTGATGAGCACTGGGTATTATGTAAAACTGATGAAGCACTGAACTCTACCTCTGAAACTAATAATATACTATATGTTAATTAATTGAATTTAAATTAAAAATGTTCAAAAAATTTAAAAATATATTTAAAAATAAATAAATTGTCCCAGATTTGGCCAGTAGGAGCCCTTCAAAATTTGCACCTACAGAAGAAAATAATCACAATAATATTAAAAATAAATACATAAATAAGATATTTGCCCAGGACCTTGAGATCTCAACTAAGCCCAGAGGAGAGGGCAACAGCACTTACTCAGGTGGTCAGAACTATACACCCATTGTCAGATGATCCCAGACAGAAGTTTCCAGAAGCATATTAAAAAACAAAAATAAACAGGATCCACAGGTCTAGACTAGTCATCCAAGAATGGCTCAAGATCCTCATTTCCCACCACAAGAGACCATTTCCCAAATTTTTCATAATTCCTAGACACATTGCCCTCTACATTTATTTGCCCCATCTGCTTTTTATCTAAAGCGAAGATTTGCTTCGTTGATCATTTCTGGTAACTCCTGGGGAGTCAGGACTCTTTTCACGATCTGCCATGAAGACAAGGGCTGATACGGATGCACCTAAGAAGAAAATGAGACCAAAGCTCACCTCGATGGGTCAACAAATTTGTAAATCGATCCGTGTGGTGCATAGGCGCTGGGGTAGGCGGTGGCCAGGAAGTAGAGCTCCCCTGAGGAAACAGGGACAGGTCATCAGTAGGATGGCGGAGACACAGAGCTGGATGCACAGAAAACCCTCGACATGGGGTTAGAGCCCTGAAATGCAGTGAGCCGCAGGAAGGGAGCCCCAGGAAGAGAACCCCAGAACCCCGACTGACAGCTCAGCCCTCACAGGACTGTGAACTCCTTAAGGAGAAAGCCCTTCTCTGACCCCCAAAGACTAGCTCAGAGTGCACCCAACAGACGTGCATCTCTGTTTACAATCAATGAACCAAACAGGCTTCCCCTTTATCATCTCTGCTCTAAGAAACTTCTCCTTAACGAATCTCCACTTCCTCCCCCACCTCTTGACTATTACTAAGGATTCTCTGAGAAACCCTGAAATAGCTGTTGACAGGTTAAGGACCATTTATCTGTCACTCTCTGTTGCCCCCTCTTGAGTCCACTCCTCGCTTCTCCCTCCAGCTGAACCTTCCTTCCTCAGTCCTTGGGTCCTCCGTTTCCCCTGACCCCCCATTCTTCAGACAGTCCTCCTGGCCTTCTCCACACCTCCCAGAAATCACCTCTACCCATGGTCGAGCCCCCGTGCCTCCCAATACCCCCGGTGAACACTCTCTGCTCACGGTCACTACCTCATTCCATCTCTTCTCCCGGTTACCTTTGAGGGACAGGAAAGGATGGGCTGACGAGCCCAACTTCCAGGCTGGAGCCTTCTGACTTTGAATCCTGACAACACCAGCTGCTAGCTGTGTTGTCTCAGGCAACCTCTCAACTTGTGTAACCCTCACATTATTAATTCATCTGTCAAATGGGGCTAATAATACTCACATGATTATTAGGGATTAAGTTAGAAAGTGACGGGGCGCCTGGGTGGCTCAGGTGGTTAAGCATCCGACTCTTGGTCTCGGCTCAGGTCATGATCTCAGGGTCCTGAGATGGAGCCTCACATGGGCCTCCACACTCAGCAGGGAGTCTACTTGAGGATTCTCTCCCTCCCTCTCCCTCTGCTTCTCCCCCCTCAAATAAATAAATACATCTTTTTTAAAAATTAAAAAATTATGATCAGCTCTTCACGCCATAATACTTATGCCACTGCACTGAACTGAGCTCACTTGTTGTATGCTCTCCCTCAACCTCATGGAAGTAAATGTCTACTAAACTGGTAACTGGAAAAGCCTAGAACTTCAGACAGCTTGGAGTGATTCTACAACCTTCTTCCTTGAATTAGTGGAGGACAGTGACCTATGTTTGTCCCGTGCCGAATGTGAGGCCTCCGGTCTTCATGGAGCCCCCACGTACAGCTTCCTAATAAACTCTGGATTTGGGGTCCTCACCAACTATATGGTCACCTTGCTCTGTAAGGGGTCTGAGGCATTAAGATGCACCCCACCCTAGAGCCGGTTTGCCTCGTCTGATTGGAAAGCCCAGGCACTGTCCATTTGATAAAAAGAGGGGTCTACCAAGCGTCTGCATGTCCGTGGGGTGACATCATACAGGAGCCCCTCTAGACCATGCAAAGAATTCCTGCTCTAATTGAAAACCCCACACTGTGGCATAGTCCCTCCACAACACCAGTTTATGTGAATTATATGGCCTAAACATGCCACAGACTTCCCATTGTATTTTTTTTTTTTTAAGATTTTATTTATTTATTTGAGAGAGAGACAGTGAGAGAGAGCATGAGCAAGGAGAAGGTCAGAGAGAGAAGCAGACTCCCCGTGGAGCTGGGAGCCCGATGTGGGACTCGATCCTGGGACTCCGGGATCATGACCTGAGCCGAAGGCAGTCGTCCAACCAACTGAGCCACCCAGGCGTCCCTTCCCATTGTATTTTTAGGGGAAAACAATGCTAGAAGTGAATTTCATGTGTCATGTCCAACTGACAATTTTAAAAATATATTTAAGGACCAAAAACGACTACCCCAAAAATCTGTAATATGCCATGCCAAACAAAACGCACGCGACTAAACTTAGTGCAAGCATTAGTACTTGGACCAGCCCTCTTGAGAATGTGACTGACATTCAGGAATCCAACCCATCACGACCCACTCAGCAAGGGACAGCCCCACCTCCTGCCCCGCCCTCCGCAGTCACTTCTTTACGCCAGCTGTCAGCTAGAAAACCTGGAATTACACCGCAGTACTGGCGGTTCAACCAAAAAGGACATGTCTACAGCGTGGTGAGTGATAACAAAATAATGAAATACTCAGATCTAAAAATATGTCCTTAAGTGGGAAAGGCTAGGACACAAGCAGAAAATCTGAATTACTCCACGCAAACAACCAACGTGGGAAGACCAAGCAACGTGGGAAGAAAATAACTTGCCTCAGGACACCTGGGTGGCTCAGTTGGTTAAGCATCTGCCTTCGACTCAGGTCATGATCCCAGGGTCCTAGGATCGAGCCCTACCTCGGGTTCCCTGCTCAGTGGGGAGCCTGCTTCTCCCTCTCCCTCTCCCTCTCCCTCTCCCTCTGCCCTTCTCCTGCTTATGCGCTCTCTCTCTCTCTCTCTCTCTCTCTCTCAAATAAATATATAAAATCTTTAAAAGAAAAAAGAAAAGAACTAGTCTTGAAAACAGCCTTCCTCACTTTAGGGCCATTTTGGGCAGTCTGGCTTGGGAACAACACCCTGGCAGGTCCACTTGATAAAATTCAGCCAAGGACACTCAGTCTTGTTGGCCAGACGTACTGACTGGTACTTAAAAGCTGCCTGTTTTCTCCAGTGAGAAGCCGACAGGCACAGCAAACCAAACCACCCAAGCCAAGGTTTCCGAAGCCTTCTGAGAAGGAGCAAGCGGCAGAAGACAGCAGCCCAGGATCCCCGGGGAAGACCCACCTCCGGGGCTCCAGCCTCCAGGCAGTGTGAGCTCCAGCCACCTGGGGGCCCCAGCCTGGAGGGGCTCTGGCAGGACAGACGCCCCACCAGGCCTCGGGCTTTCCCGTCATCCTCCTTTCATGGAGCACCATCCTGCTAGCCTGTGGTTTCTCTCCTTTTTTGTATGTTTGGACTTCCAATTTGGAACTCACTTAGACTTTCTCTATTGAGAATGCTTGAATTCTCTCGAATATCCTCCGTTCCTCTAAAACATTCATCTCAAACGATAAGCTAGGAAAAGGTCCAAGAGCTGACTGGATTTCCGTATGTCTTGCTCAAGTGAAGGTCTGGCACAGTCACCCCATGACTCAGAACGGAAAGAAGCCCCTAAGGAAACTAAGGAAACCTTCAAGGCTCTGGTTCACCCTCACAGAGAAGCCCAGGTCTGGAAGGGGCCCTGAGAGACCCTGTTGTTCTCTTCCGAGACCCCAAGCATGGCTAGATGCAGTGCCAAATACCAAAGAGATCACAGGCCCTGTCCTCCTCACCAAAAAAAAAAAAAGAATATTATCTTTCAAAATGTAACCAACTTAAGTAAAGCTGAAATTAAAAATCCATTTTCTGGTTACATAATTTGAGGCAAGTTAGCAGAGCAGAGTCTCTGTCTCTCATACACACACACACGCTTTGCTTTGCTGACGCCCTTAATAAACACCTCATCTGTCTAGCAAATAGCCTCCACTGAGCTGTCTACCCTTCTAACAGAGATCTCTCAGGGAAGAAATTCTCCCTGGCTCACTCCCAGCACTGGCCTCACAGACTCCGGCAGGGTGAGGAAAGGCCCAGTGAGGAGCTGATCACCAGAGGCGCTCCCTCCCAGGCAGCACCAGGAGGGTAAACACCAGCGTCCAGCATATCTGCCCCACTACTGGCCCCACCCACGTTCCTGTGATCGCAGATCAGAATTCAGTCAGGGAGGAGGACAGGAATCTCCTTCACGGTCGAAAGACCGAAAGACCAAAGTATAGACCCTAATTTGCCCCACACAGTGAGGTGTGGGCCTCGGTCAAGAAGGGGTAGGTTGGCATATTCCATCTGTTGCCTCAATGGCGAAATAAGCATAAGCATTACGTCACGGGAACACTGTAACTATTAAATAACATTAAAAATGTAAAGTGCTTAGAACAGTATCCAGGACATTTTAAAAGCTGACTACGGGGCCTCTGGGAGACTCAGTCAGTTAGGCATCCAACTCTTGATTTTGGCTCAGGTCGTGAGATCGGTCCCGAATTGGGACTCTGTGCTGAGTGTGGAGTTTGCTTAAGATTCTCTCTCTCTCTCTCTCCTCTCCCTCTGCCCCTCCCTGCTGTACATTTTCCCTCTGTCTTAAAAAAAAAAAAAATTAAAAGGTAGTAAAAATAGAAGTGTAGTTGTTATTTAAATAACAATAGTTAAGAGTAATTTTTATAACAAATGTCAGTTCACAATGCCTGTGATGATTTAAGTTCCAAAAAGCAGAAATAGCATAACCCTGGGCATTTGTTACCTGCTTCGTCTTCAGCAAAAGAGATGATAAACTTGCTGTGGGTGCTGATCAGCCCTGGGAAGGCACAGGACGCAGTGTTGCCAAGGCAAATGTCCCGTTTCTTCCATTTCTTGGTTTTCCTATCTTCCTGCAAAGCCATAAGTCGACTAGATGAAAAATAAAACCTTTATTATAGGAATCCATATTTTCACCCTGCAAGATATTCCTCCTCCTTCCCTAGGAGATCAACACCTAGCCTCTCCCAGGAATCAAAAAGCTGCTTCAGAGATACGTGGGTCACCCGCTGTCCCTAGCTGGAGCAGCTCTTCTTCTATCATAAGAGGAGTCTGGGGCCCCGAGAAGGTTCCACCGCTACAAAAAACTAATTCAATTTCTATTAGTTTGTGACCTTTGGCTATGTCTTCAACGGCTACGCCTCAGTTCCCTCATCTGTAAAGTGAATTTACCGCGGACCAAAGTTGCAAAGGTTAAGTAAGATAATATACGTGAATAACTCCCCGGGGTGCCTGGGACACAGTAAGGACCCCAAAACTGGGAGCTGCTTTTGTTACTATGTCTATGTAGTCATCTGTCTGACCTAAAAGCAGGTTTTTAGAATAAAAAGAAAAGGAAGATGGGTCAAGTAGGGTGTCATATGAAACTCTTTTTTTCACATGAAACATTTTATAGATTCAAAGATGTTCAATCCCAGTGATTCTGGTGCATGGGCTTTGACTAAGAATCACTGAATAGCAACCAAGTGATACGTAAGGAGATGGGGGGAACTGTGGGAAAAACAAAGAACAATTAAATCCCAAAGACCTGACAAGTGATGATAAAGGAACTGACCGATTACTGGCTGTTCCCCATCTCTGGAACCAAGTATTACAGTATGAAAATACTACTGTCCTTTCTGAGGAAGATGGGGTAATTTTACCCTCACACCTTAAAAAGAGTCAAAACCTAGACAATAGAGTGACAATTTTTTTTTTTTAAAGAATTTATTTATTTATTTATTTGACAGAGAGAGATCACAAGTAGGCAGAGAGGCAGGCAGAGAGAGAGAGAAGCAGGCTCCCTGCTGAGCAGAGAGCCTGATGTGGGACTCGATCCCAGGACCCTGAGATCATGACCTGAGCCGAAGGCAGAGGCTCAACCCACTGAGCCACCCAGGCGCCCTAGAGTGACAATTTTTAAAAGACACTGGGAATCAGCCAATGAAGGACTATATTCCCTAAGAGATGAGAAACAAAGTAAATCCTAAAATTTTCCCAGCTTACTACCTTGAGAAAGTTTCCAGCACAAGGAAGGAAAACACAGGCAGAGACAGCAGTCTCCTTAAACTGAAAAGGAGTCCAGGAAGACCTATGGAGGAAGAGTCTGCAGGACAGACTTTGGAGAGAAGAGGGGGGTGCAGAGAATAGGCCCCAGAGAGCTGCAAAGTGTCTCCCTTGAGTATCCATCACTGCACTTAACAGCACATACATGTGAGGGAACCACCCAAATCAGGGGAAAGAATTAGAAAGGAAAGTACTTGGCACTTACTCAGGGTCAGGCATAGTGTAAAGATAATTCACAGAGCATTGGGAAGAGTTTCTAGCAAAGTTCTGCTTCAGCATTATCTAAACGAGAAGGAAAAAAGAGGATGGGGAAACAAAAACTATTTGAAAAAAATTATAGCCAAGATTTTTCCAGATTTGATGTAAGCTATAAACTCACAAATCCAATTAGTGCAACCAAAATCCAAGCACAAAAAATACGACAAAAACTACACCAACACATATCATAATGAAATTCCACAAAACCAATGATAAAATCTCAAAAATGGCCAGAGAAAACCTAACATGATAGATATGGAGGAACAAATATAAGGATGACAGCAGATTTCTCATTGGAATTAAGGCCAAGCAGAAGATAATGGACAATATTTTTAAAGAATTAAAGAAAGAGTATGTCAACATAGACTTCTATACTTAGTGAAAATATTTTTCAAAAAGGAAGGGGGAAAAAAAGACAGCAAAAGCAGAAAGAATTCATCACCAATGAATCCATTTTTCAAAAAATAGTAGAGGAAGCTCTTCAAGCATTAAAAAAAATGACATCCCCAGAAGGAAATATGCACAAAGTAATGAGGAGTATTAAAAATGGAAACTATATTTGTTTCTTACCACCACTGTAACATATCACCACAACCTGGCGGCTTAAAACAACCCACACTTATTCTCTTAGAGTTTTGGAGGCCAACATCCTGAAATGGTTTCCACTGGGTCAAAATCAAGGTGTTGGCAGGGCTGTGTTCCCTTCAGAGGCTCTAGAAGAGAATCAATTTCCTTGCCTCTTCCAGCTTCCAGTGGTTGTCCTCATGTCTTGACTCATGCGCTCACCACACCGCTTCTGTTACTACCCTGACTTCTATCTCTTCTGTCTTCAAATTTCCCTCTACCTCCTTCTTCCAACCATATTTGTGAGTATATTTAGGACCCACCTAGATAATCCAGGGTCATCTCCCAAATCAAACACAGTCTCTTTGTGACCACAATCAAACTAAATTATAAATCAATAGCACAAAGACCTCAGGAAAATTTCAGATATTTGGAAACTAACACACTTCAAACCAACTTGTGAGACGGTACGTCAAAGCGAAATTAGAAAATATTCTTAACTGAATGAAAATGAAAACACAATATATCAAACTTTATGGGATCCTGTTAAAGCAGGACTTGAGGAGAAATTCAGAACACTAAACTTATGTATTAGAAAAAAATGACAGTCTCGAGGTACTTGGGTGTCTCAGCTGCTTAGGCATCCAACTCTTGCTTTCAGCTCAGGTCATGATCTTCCAAGTTGTGAGATCAAAGCCCTGTGTAGGGCTTCTCGCTCAGCAGGGAGTCTGCTTAAAAGATTCTCTTCCTCTGCCCCTTGCTCACTCTCTGTCTCTCTAAAATAAATAAATCTTTTAAAAAAACAAAAAAAAAAAAAAAAGTAAGGAAAAGAGGACAGTCTCAACTCAGTGACCATAGTTTTCATCCTGAAGTGGCATAATGTTATTTGAATATGGACTTGGATTAGCTGTAAATGTATATTGCAAACTCTAGGCAACCAATGAAAAAGAAAAAAAAAGTATAACTAACATGCTAAAAAAGGGAAGAAAATGGAATTACATAGATTGCTCGGTTAAATCCACAAAAGGCGGGAAAAGAGTGGAAGACAAAAATAGAATAAAGAATAAAGGCAACAAATAGAAAGCAGTAAAAAATATGGTAGATATTAATCCAACTATGTCCCTAACTACGTGGAATGTTAATGGTCTGAATGCACCAATTAGAAGACAGAAGAAATAATGGGGGCACCAGGGTGGCTCAGTTGGTTAAGCCTTGACTCTTGATTTTGTCTCAGATCATGATCTCACAGTCCTGAGATCGAGCCCCAAGTCAGCCTAAACACAGCATGGAGGCTGCTTGTCCCTCTCCCTCTTCTCCTTCCCTTGCTCTCTCTCTCAATATCTCTCAAATAAATGAAAAAATAAAATATTTTTTAATCTTTTTTTAAAAGATTTTATTTATTTATTTGACAGAGACAGAGAGAGATCACAAGTAGGCAGAGAGGCAGGCACAGAGAAAGGAGGAAGCAGGCTCCCTGGACCCTGGGATCATGACCTGAGCCCAAAGCAGAGGCTTAACCCACTGAGCGACCCAAGCACCCTGAATAAATAAAATCTTTAACAAAAAAAGAAGACCAAAGAAATCACCAGACGAGACACAACTATACGTTTTCTATAAGAAAACTTTAGGCCTTGATGACTTCACCTGGAAGAAACATATAAAGAAGAAATAAAACCTATTTTAACAAACTCTTCTGGACAACTGAAGAGGAGGAGACACTCTCCAGCTCATTCTAATAAACCCTGCATTATCCTGACGCCAAAATCTGGCAAAGATATTCCAAGAAAGAAATCCCTTTCGTGAACACAGATGCAAAATTTTCCAACAACCTGTTAGCAAATCCAATCCAACAATATATTAAAAGGAAAATACATCATGACCAAATGGTATTTATTCCAGAAATGCAAGACTGCTTCAATGATTTAAAAAAAAAAAAAAAGCAATCAATGTAATTCACTATATTAAAATCTAAAAATGAGAAAACCACACGATTCTCTCACAAGATGCAAAGACGCGTTTGCATCTTGCATTTTGCATTTGTATTTGCAAAACATAACATCGAGCCTTAATACAAATTCTCAGTGAACTAGGAATGGAAGGAAAACTTCTTCACCTAATAGATGGCATTTATAAGTACCTACAACTGACATCATACTCACTGGTAAAAACGGAAACCTTCTAACCAACATTGTACTGAAGTTTAAGAAGAAGCATTAAGTCAAGAGAATAACAATAAAAGCCTTGCAATTCAGGAAAAGAAAAAGTAAAAGTATCTATATTCATAGACAAAATGATCTTCTTCTAGAAAATCCAATAGAATCTACACACACACACACACACACACACATACAAGCCAATTGAGCTAATAAGAGTTTGACAAGGGGGCACGTAGGTGGCTCAGTCGTGAAGTGTCTGCCTTCGGCTCAGGTCATGATCCCAGGGTCCTGGGATCGAGCCCCACATCAGGCTCCCTGCTCATCAGGAAGTCTGCTTCTCCCTCTCCCTCTGTTTGTGCTCCCTCTCTCATTGTCTCTCTCTGTCAAATAAATAAATAAAATCTTAAAAAAAAAAGTTTGACAAGGTTGCTGGACATAAGCTATACACACACACACACACACACACACACACTTAAATATACATAATAAATATATAATAAATGTGTAGTAAAAAACTGGAAATAGCCAAAACGGGAGACTACATGAATAACTGGTATTATATTCATGCACTTGAATATTACAAAGCAATAAAAGAGAGAAACTGATACATGTGACAACAGAGATGAATCTCACTGATGTTACTGAATGAAAGAAACCATACACGTACAAAAAAAGAATGCATATACACAATTCCATTTATATTAAATTCCAGAAGCAAAATTAACGTGATGGCAGTGGTTACCTCTGGCCGACGTGTGTGTGTGTGTGTGTGTGTGTGTGTGTGTGTGTGTGTGTGAGAGAGTGAGAGAGAAAGGGGTGGTACTGACAGGCAACAGGCCAAGAAGGAACCTTCCAGAGTGATGGAAATGTTCTGCATCTTAACATATTTACAAGGGTATATATTGTAAAACTTTATCCAACTGTGCTCTTAGAGACTTTGTCTCGCCACATGTAGTTTGTATCTCAATAAAAATGCTGAAATAAAAGAAATGAAAGAAGATACCAATCCCTTCTTACCCACTCATGAAGTCCCCAAAGATGTAGAGGCCACTGAGATTTGGGGATTCACACCCACGGTAGACGTATCCTCCAGTGACTGACTTGCCCACTGCATGACCATAAGCATAGATTGGCAGAATGTCACCTGTCCATGAACAAAGAGAGTGTCACAGCTAAAGACTGAGACCTTCAGGTGCCTGGGTGGCTTAGTTGGTTAAGCATATGACTCTTGATTTCTGCTCAGGTTATGATCTCAGGGTCCTGAGACCAAGCCCCTGTCGGACTCCACTGAACACGGAGCCTATCTGGGATTCCTTCTCCCTCTCCTGCTGCTCTCCCCCCAACCCTGCTCATGCACACACACACACACTTTCTCTCTCCCTAAAAAAAAAAAAAAAAAAAAAAAAAAATTTAGAGCTTCAATGAGGAAGATGGGGATTTTAAATGTAGCTGCCTGATTGAGTGGAGAATGCTTTCTCTCTTGGTCTTTGGAAGGGCAGGCAGCCAAGAGAATCATGCTTATTTTTCTCAACACACCAACCACAATATTTGTGAGCTTCCCCTTTGACTGGCCTCTGGAAGCCGAGAGGAAGCCAAAGACTGCCCCACCTGTGAGGCAGTGACCTGAGAACCCACACACCTAAGTGTATTCCCTAGGCTGACATGGCAGATACTCAGGTTTAAGGATCTGAAAATCTTGTGAGGGTCTCTAAAACTCCTTTGCAACTTATGAGGGTCAAAAAAGATTTGGCACCACTGATTAAAAAAAAAAAAAACGCCTGAAAAGCACATCTTGATGGACTGTACCACCAGTCTGCATATGGAATACCATCTCAGTGGGCTGGGCAAAATGGGAATAAGTGAAAAACAGAGCCACCAACTTTCCTCTGCTGGGTTTTCTCAAATTAGCCTAAAAACCCTGTGGGTAACTAATCTAAAATAGAGATTCCTCGGTCAATCCCAGTCCCCGAACCCAGGCGAGACCCGAATGCATCAGATCAACAAGCACTAACCCAACATGTTTCCGGTGCCTGTGAATGGAGGGCCAACCTGGAAGCTCGATCCCACAGGCCATAAACAAAGACCCCTGAGTGACCCGCAGGGCAGAACTCCCAGGTCATACTCCCCACCTCCACCTCCAACCCCCTCAGTCCACTCCAGAAATCACCCAGAGAACTTCTGACTTACCCAAAGAGGCATTGTGACAAAGCTTCCTGTCGTAACACTCAAACCCTTCCTTGGCCCTCCAGCCGTAGTTCCCGCCTTTCACAATGATGTCAACTTCTTCAAACCTATTTTGTCCCACGTCCCCACAGAACATCCGGCCTCGGCCCCGGCGCGTGACGGGGTCCCCTCGGTCCACGGCACAGCGCCACATGTTTCTGACCCCATAGGCATACACGGCGGGGTGGGCCCCTGGCTCGGCCACGAACGGATTGTCCGGGGGCACTCGGTAAGGCCTGCTGTCTGAGCCTGCCCTGTTCACGTCGATCCGTAACACCTTCCCCAGCAGGGAACTTCTGAAAGGAAGAACGCCGGGGAACAGGCGCAGGATAAACACGCAGAAATGGATGGCCGGGTCATTGGCGAGTTTTATTTGTTCCGTTTTTGAAGCCTCCCCTTACTGTTTTCCAGAGCAGCTGCACTATTTTGCATTTCCACCAACAGTATACGAAGTTTTCTGCATCTTCAGCAACACTTGCTGTCTTTTTGTGTTTGGGTTGTTTTGGGGGGGAAGGGGGCGGTGGAGGGAGATAAAGAGCCATCCTAATGGATGGGAGGTGATCTCTCATTGTAGTTTTTGATTTACACTTCCCTGATGAGGACTGACACTTTCCATACATCTGTTGGACATTTGTTAATCAGATGAGTAGGTTCTGGAGATCTGCTGTACGTCTGTCCCTATAATTAACAATACCGTATTTACACCTACAATTTTTGTTTATGCTTAAATTTTTTTAAGAGGGTAGAATTCATGTTAAGTGTTCAAAATTTAAAACTAAATAAAATAATGAAATATAAGATAAAATAAAATAGCACCAGACCAGAGACTGCCCAGGAGGACCTACTGATAGTCAACGCCAAACAACTACTAAGAATCACATGGGAACACAGGGTTTTTTAAAGATATACACACGTGTATACAAGATCTATACATAAAGTCATCTCTGTACGAGACACATAGACTGACTTATGCAAAATGTTAAGACTTGGGTTGCCTGGGTGGCTCGGTCGTTAAGCGTCTGCCTTGGGCTCAGGTCATGACCCCAGGATCCTGGGATGGAGTCCCACATAGGGCTCCCTGCTCAGCGGGAGGCCTGCTTCTCCCTTTCTCACTCCCCCTGCTTGTGTTCCCTCTCTCACTGTCTCTCCCTCTCTCTCTGTCAAATAAATAAATAAAATCTTAAACAACAACAACAACAACAAAATGTTAAGACTTGCCAAGTTTTGGCTCAGGGAAAACCAGAAGGCATAAATCGGATGGGATCCTGGCCCATACAACCCAGAGCAAGCAAGTTGAAGCTCCAATTTTTAAAATGTTTTCAATGAGATGGTTTCTCTCAGGTTGGGTTTAACGCTATGAATTTTTTTTTTTTTCATATGAAACATCCTTGTAGCGAGGCCATGTTTATCTTTTCTGGAGTGTTCTGATTTTAGTATATGTGCTGCCAAAGTGGGCACTAACACTATGAATTTTTAAAAGGAGTTGGTTTATTCTTCCTCACAGAGCACTGTGGTCACAGAAAGGACAGAGCTTTCAGGAGGCTCTGCCACTGACTGCGGCCTCTGGGCCTCAGTTTCCTCATTTGTAAAACAGGCTAGAGAAAGACAACCTCGCAGTGTAGTTGTGGTTTTAAGGGCTAAATGAGTTACCCTGCCTGTAGCAGGTGACTCGATTCCCAACAGTAGGCATCTGACAAATGTTAGCTCTTGATTATTTTTTTTTTTTAAGATTTCTTCATTTATTTGACTGGGGACAGAGACAGAGGGAGAGAGACAAGCAGACTCCCCACCTGAGCCGAAATCAAGAGTCAGCCACTTAACCGACTGAGCCACCCAGGCGCCGCCATTAGCTCTTGACTACTTTAACTTCAATATTTTATTATCGAGGATAATGGCATTCAAGTGCTTGCTGTTACAAAGGACATCAGGATCATGGGCTTTGATCTAGGTCAGCCCAGACTCCCCTGGACTCTCGCACTAGCTTGTCTGAGTTTGAATTTTGGTTCTGCCACTCACTTGCTGTGTGACCTTAGGCAAGCTACTTTACTCCTCTGTGCCTCATCTTCCTATCAGTGAAATGACTATCATAATACCTACACTTCATAGGAGTCCTCCCTTCCATTGTATTTCTGAAGTGACTCCCATACCAGGCATTATTTGAGTTGGTGGGGACACATCAATTTACAAACAGATAAAAATCCCTGCCCTCGTGGGATGTTAGAATTATGTTCTTGGGGCACCTGGGGGGCCCAGTCAGTTAAGCATCCAACTCTTGGTTTTGGCTCAGATAGTGAGATGGAGCTCCACGCCAGACTCTATGGTCAGCATGGAGTCTGCCGGAGTTTCTCTCTCCCTCTGTCCCTCCCGCTCTGTCTCCCTTGCTCTCAAATAAATAAATAAACAGAATTACATTCTTCAATATACACAAAGTATTCAAAACAGTACCTGACACACAGTAAGCATTCAAAATATATCACGTATTAACTATCTTCTCACACGTGTCCAGGGCCTAGCACAGAGCCCAGAGCGTGGCACTCAATAACATCACTGAGTTGAACTGAAATGCGTAAGATCTTGGTGAGGTAAATACTGTCACGCTAGTACATACTGAACACTCTGAATTCGTGTCCCCATAGCACTCTGAGAGTTACACGGAGCATCTACAGTATTACTTTCCAGAATACACTGTGCCTGAAATTCACAGGACAGAAAACCAAATGTTTCTCCCACGTGCCTCAACAGAGGGGGCTACGTCTTGCAGTACGTGATTTGGGTTTGATGCTCCGGAGATTCCATCTCAGCAAAAACATCCCAAGGGCTCTCGCTAAAGGGACAGGAGCCCAGTTCCCCCCAGCTTACTTGTTCTGAGCATTTCCAAACTTGCCAAAGGGATCCCCAGCCTGTCCTCCATCCCCAGTGAAAATGTACATGTAGCCATCCACACCAAAAAGAAGTTGTCCGCCATTATGATTTGAGGCTGGTTCTTCTATCTCCAAGATGACTCTGGAAGGAAAAGAAACTGTGCATTAGGTTTTGATATGAGCTAAAACTGCATCCTTTTCAGACACCCAGAAATGACTGGCCCAAGTCAGCCAAGTCCTGCTTCAGAGTTTCCAAGAATCACAAAGCTTGGAGCGCTAAGACTCCCCTTGTTCCCCAGTATGACTGCTTCATGGATAGTTTTTCTTTCCTGTCATGATTTCATGAGCTGTAGACACAGCCAGGGTAACAATCACCTTTTTCTGGGCCTTACTCTCTTGCTCTACCAGAACTCTTAATCCCTTCCTTTGGGCAACCCAGCAGGAGTTAATCTGTCAGTTAGGTGTCCATTTCAATCCCCAACCTCGCTGTTTGGGACAAGAGACACAAGGCAGAAAGAACAAGAAGGAAAAAAGACAGACTGGTAGGGTGGCAAGACCACAAGCTTGGAGTGACAGAATTAAGTCCTTCATCAGACCATGCATCTAGGGCTCTATGGCTTTGTGCCACAGCTTTCTGTAAGGATAATATCCATGTTCAAGGCAAAGGGCCTGGAATTCAATGACCACACAATAATCAGAGGCCACTATTATATCTAATACATTGATATTATCTATAATCGTTTCTCAAACCCTTGTGGCTGCAAGTCTGCCATCTCCCTACTGATGACTCCTTGGTCAGTGTTATAAGCTAGTGTCTCTAAAACCGGAAACATGTCCCTTTATCATCTCAGAGGACACACTGGCATTATTTTGGAGTGCAGTACAGAGTTGCTCATTCTCATGGGCATATCTCACCTTTCTGATCTGGGGTCAGCTTTGTTGGGATCAGCCCGAGAAACCTTCATCTCACTAATCCGGATCTTTTCTACCTTCTTCTTGCCCAGACATGAATAATAAATATAGAACTTCCGGTTGCGGCGGAATCTGGGATGAAAAGCCAACCCCAAGAAGCCTCTCTCATCCCCTACCCAGGGAGTAGTCAACACGATCTTCTTGAGGTCCAAAAAGGGCTGCTCCAGGCGGCTCCCATCAGGCAGGTAGACCCATACCACGCCCACCTGCTCAGCCACAAAGAAACGATGGGTGCCGTCCCCAGCGTGGACCATGGAGACCGGGTTCTTCAGCCCATTGGCCACCTCGGTCAGGCAGAGCTGCAGGCAGCCCTGCTGGTCCTTGGCCACCACACCCAGGTTGCGGTTAAGATGGTCATTCCTCAGGACATTAGGGAAGCAATAGTCCTCGTCAGGAAGGTTGAGGAGGTGGCAGAAATGGGCACCATCTTTTTCATGTGAGCCCTGCAGGTGACGGTCATTGGTCAGTAGGGAGATGGCAGAGTGACAGCTGGAATGGAATGCGGAGCAGTAGTCAGAGCAGAGGCCAGGAAGGTTCCGGAGGGGCGTCCGAGGGTTCTCAGCATCGTAGAGATGAGCGGCATAGGGTGAGCACTCCTAGGAAGAAAAAGGAAGCTTGACTGGTAGTCAGACTGGCCATGGTGGGGCTGGTCCCAATTTTTGAGCACACAGGAGGAAAATGGTCTAGGAAAGAATCAGGATTCTGGAGTTTCTATGAGCAACGACTGGTAAAGCTCTTTTCGGGGACCCCAATTTTCTGGCCAGTTAGCGCTCCTGGAAGGCAAAAAGAGGGAGCAATATTTCATGTTCACCATACCTTCTTTAGCATATTAACTTCGTTCTTGACACTTTAAAGTTTTAGTAAGCGATGACTTTTTTTTTAAAGAGTACTAATTTCGGGCCGCCTGGGTGAACCACCCGGTTAAGTGTCTGCCTTGGGCTCAGGTCAGGATCCCAGTATCCTGGGATCCAGCCCCCACATCAGCTCCCTGCTGGGAAGGAGTCTGCTTCTCCCTTTCCCTCTGCCCCACACCCACCCCGCTCATGTTCAGGAACGCTCATATAAATAAATAAAATCTTTAAAAAAAAGAGAGAGAGAGAACCAATTTCCCTACCGTTCCCTTTATTATAAATGCTGTATCTATAAGACTTTATTCCTTTTTTTTTTTTTTAAGATTTTATTTATTCACTTGAGAGAGAGCGCACGAGACAGACATAGCAGAAGCAGGGGGAAAGTGAGAAGCAGTCTCCCTGCTGAGCTGGGAACCCAGACGCAGGGCTTAATCCCAGGACCTGGAGATCCATGACCCAAGCCGAAGGCAGATGCCCAACCATCTGAGACACCCAGGTGCCCCAAGACTTCTTTTACCCAAATCCGAAGCAATGTGGCAAAAGTTTTTGTTAAATCTGGGTATTGGATACACGTTAAGTATTTAATTTTCTGTGCTTTTCTATATGTTTGAAATAGTTTATGATTCAAAATAAAATCACCAAACTAGACATGCGATGTATCACTCCCAGAGATTAGGCATCTAGTCATTTCTTCACTTACTTATAAAACTATGTAAGTGCTTCCTGTATACAAAGCAAGACGCTGGGAGTTACACAAATTTGAGGCATGGCTATGGGGCCACAGTGCTCTTTACACAGACACACACAGGACCCACCTGCCAAGTACCTGTTCCTCAGGGCTCCCTACACCACGACATTTTTTTAGGAGGAAAATAGATTATTGTGGGCAGACAACTACCTCCCGAGAGTAATGAAAGGCAGGCAACTGGGAATAAGTAATAAAGGCCGTTTTTAAAGGGTGCACTTTGGGGCCTCAGACAGATCCCACTGGCCCAAGAACCCCCTTTCTGATCACCAACCCTTCTGCCAGCAGTCGCCAGGGGGACCATCCCAGCCTACCTGTGTTCCCTGCCACCTAACAAGGGAAGAGCTGCATTTCTCAGATGTGCCTGAATTCCCTGTTCACTCTTAATTCAATCCTGATGGGAGGTTGCAGAGCAAGCTCCTAGCTATTAGAAAAAAGGGAAGAAAGAATCCTTCGAGAAGATTCAGTGTCTCTCCTTGGATGGCCTGTTTCAGTTCAGGAAACCTGTCAGAGCTGCTGACAGGAAGCAAAATGAACTGGTCTGAGTCTCATCCCACTGGCCTGTTCACTCTTTTTTTTTTTTTTTCGTTTTTGCAGTACTTTTATTTGAAGGCTTTATCAAAAATACAGCCTTTCATGAAGTATTTTTGAGAAGGGAGAGGCAGAAAGGAGCATAGAGAAAAGCTAACATGTCTGCTCTGTTAGCTCACGTTCAAGTAGGACCATTTCTTTTTTTTTTACATTCATTTAAATGATATACTTGAAGCTGAAAGTGCTGTTACAGGACAGGCGTTTGCCTTTGCATCTCCCACACAAATCTTGACGATGGGGCCTTTTAGGGTCAACGTGGCGAACTTTTACAGTGCAGGAGCATCTAGTCTGTTTACAACTTTGACAGGTGATATCCTCCACTCGGTAAGGGTTGTAAGACTTCTGACAAGTTCTGGAGGAGTGGAATGAAGAGGGGGGACAGAGGGGGCCGTGGAAATATAACCAGCATGGCACACGCTTGGGCAGAAATTTAGTCCGCAGAATTGCTTTGACTCAGTTATCTCAGGACAGCATTTCTCTATTTAAGGAAAGTAAAGCCCAGAAGAGTTTCCCGTGTGGTGTCAGACTCTGTTCTCTGCATGGAGAACAGGGAAGGGGGCAAGATGCACCAAGGCTGTTCTAATGGGACATACACTTGGCCCGGGCCCGAAAACCATGAAGTAAATGGGTTGGTACTGTTGGGACTCCGTCTTGGTGAGATATGATCCAAAGGGCAGAAGACTCAGAGCCTGAGCCTCTAGATTTGTGCCTCAGCACGGTCTGACCTTCGACAAGTTCTTTAAAACTCCAGACTCCTTGGAGCCCCTGGGTGGCTCAGTGGGTTAAGCCCCTGCCTTCAGCTCAGGTCATGATCTCAGGGTCTTGGGATCAAGCCCTGCGTTGGGCTCCCTGCTCAGCAGGAAGCCTGCTTCCCGCCCCTACCTCCACCCTGCCTACTTGTGATCTCTGTCTGTCAAATAAATAAATAAAATCTTTAAAAAAACAAAAACAAAAACAAAAAAACTCCGAACTCTTTAACAGTAAAATCAGGATCCTAATAACTTCCCGCAGAATCACTGCTGGGAATACACTCCGTTCGCGGAAAGAAAGAGGAGGGGACTTGAGACTAAATAAATAGACTCATGTAGGTTATTCTGATTCCTCAGATCCCTCCAAGAGGAGAGCTGCTGAATTTGACTTTCGGAAACTTCTCCCAGTAGGGAAAGCACGGGGGAGGGGAGCCCTAGGGAGGGTGGAGACAATTTCACCAGGGGGCATCTCGGAAACGAACGATCTTGGTGTTGCTCAGAAGAGCCCAGCTTCGGCCCCCCATGGTTATTCCGGAGTTAATTATCCTGTTCCCCGCTGAGGGGTGGTGCCTGAGGTAGGAGAGTACAGCCCCGGGGAGATACCACCCAGGTGGCTGGATTCTGCGTCGCGATCTACGGTGTGCCCTGCCCATGGGGAGAGGGGGCGGCCAGTGCGCTCGGAGCAGTGGAGGCGGGAGGGCCCAGTGGCTGCGCCCACAGGCTCAGCGGGGTCCCAGATCACAGGTCTGCCTGTACTCCCTCCTCTTCGCCCCCACACCTCATGAGAGCACCCCTTCCCGTGGCAGCCTCTCTCAGCGGCCGTCCTCCAGGGTGACTCTCCCCTGCACCCTGAACCCCTCTTCCCAGAATTTGGTGATGGGGGATGCCTGCCAGGGATGTGGATTTTGGCCCTTGGAGAGCCTGCAGGAGCAGAACCTCTGTGAGTCACTGTCTCCCAGCAGCTTGAAGCCCTGTCAGCCCAGCTCCAGAATGCCGGGGAGAGCCCCCCGACTCTGCCACCACCATCATCACACCGGAGACCCCCTGGCACAAATGGGCCCCAGCAGGTGCCACCACTCCAAGGCCTCGGTAACCACCGCGGCTAGGCACTGCGCCCCGCTCCCAGGGCAGTGCAGGGAAACTCCAGGCAATGCTGCCCGGAGAGCTCCATGGGGGACACCCATCTCTGCCTTCGGGGTGAGAAAGCCCAAGGACCAGCGGACCCCCTGGGGGTGGGGAGACCCGCCAGAGGTCTCCAGGTGGAAACCAAAGCCAGCACCCCCTCGCTTCCGTGTGCGCATCCAGAGACCGGAGCTCTATGGTGAGACAGCTACCAGGAGAGCTTTCTAAAGGGCCAGTGGCCAAGGAGCCCCCCCAACCCCCTTGCCCCAGGACCCACGCCACCAAGCCCAGCATCCGCACTTTGCCAAGCTGGCTCCCTCACTACCGTGCAGGGTTTCACTCAGGCCTACCTGGCACAGGATGTCCTTAACGTAGCCCCCACACAGCTCATGGCCCCTGAGGTCAAAGTAATCCATGATGTCCCTGTACCGAGCAGCGAGGCGGCGGTCCTTATGCTGGTCACAGCAGCCGAAAGACTCGTAGTCTGAGCAAAACTCGAGGTGCACCGGGGGCTGGAAGGGGGGCCCATAATCCAGGCACTGGGGGTGTCCCTGCGGCAAGCCCACCTGGCCCAACCAGAATGTGAGGCAGAGGTGGAAAATGCCAGAAGAAGTAGGGAGTCTGAGGGCCCAGCTGCTCAGAGCACCCCCAGGAGTGGATGTCCTTAGCATTTTGGGCTCTGGAAGACTCCGGCTGCCGCGTTGGCTCAGGTTGGCTCCCCTGCTGTGCTCTAGTTCCCTCCCTCCCCCCCACCCTGCACTCTCTACCCCCAGGGTGTTTTCTTCCTTCCTTTTATCCCCGCCCCCAAGGAGTTCCCTGAGGTGGTTTATGAGCGGTGCCCCTTCCGCGGTGTGGGTAGCCAAGTGCCTCCTATGAAAACAGTGAGAGGTGTCCCCGTCCCCTCCAATCCCACCTAAACATGAAGCTGGTGCAAGTTCTGACCCTTACTGCTGAGTGATTGGGGTGCATGGCTTCTTAGGAAAAGGTTCAGTGGTGTCAATGGCAGGTCTGCTGGGATTCAAGAAAACTGCTAAGAATTCCTCGGGGTGGGGGCGGGGGAGGGGCAGGAAATTCACATTTTGTTTATAGCTTCTTTCACAAGCCTGAGCTGCTGGGAGTCTCCCGGAGAGAACACGTGGGATTACAGATTACGTAGTCCCAGGGGTCGGAGTGTGCAAGGGAAAGATGCAAACCTTCCAGTAGTGCTGAATGGCACCACCGGGACTCCGGCAGGGATCTGAGAACAGGGAGGGGCAGTAGGGGGAGGCAGGGGGAGCCGGTAGGAGGAGGCACGGGGAGCCATGCGGTCCCTGTGATCTGGAGAGGGCCATCCTTGCAGTGGTAGGAAGAGAGGACATGCCGTAAATCCTACATCCACAGCAGGAGCAAGAAGAAGGGAGGGAGCGTGGCCCGGGGGAAACAAGGAGTCAGCAATGGGGGCTACTGGACAGCGTCCCCAGCAATCACAGAACATCTGCGTCTTTATTTGTGCCAGCTCTATGCTCGCTCTCGGGGCATACCTCTGCACTTAGGATATGTTTCAACATTAGCATTTAAGAATGTGTTTCACTTTATACCTGTTCCTTGCACATAACAAGGCTTGGCTCAATATTTCTTAAATGAGGGGCACCTGGGTGGCTCAGTCGCTTAAGCAGCCGCTCCTGATTTTGGTTCAGGTCGTGATCTCAGGGTTGTGAGATCAAGACCCACATCAGGCTTAGCGCTGGGCATGGAGTCTGTGTGAGGTTCTCTCTCTCCCTCTCCCTCTGCCCCTCACCCTTCTCTCAAAAAATAAAATTTAAATATATATATATAATGTATTATATATATTATATATATATTTATATTATACATTATATTATATATATTATATATGCATGTATGTGTGTGTGTGTATATATATATATACAAATATATATATATTTGTAATGAGTGGATGAAGGACATGGAGTCCCGAACTCAAACAACCCCAAACCCAGACAGAGGCCTGAACCTGGGCATAAGCCTGCAGAGGCATCACCAGAGTTCACTTTCCTTCTGGTACCTTCCATGGCTCTACTCCACTCTGAAATTTCCTTATGGGCAAAAATTGCCCTTTGAAATGCCCATGAAATCAAGATTCTTCTCAGCCTAGATGGGCTTCTATGGAGGGTTCCTGCTCACCACCCAGAAGAGCCTTTCCAGGGTGTCCTCAAGAGGGCACAAGGAGCCCCAGTCTAGTCAAGTGTGTGCTGACATTGCTGTGGCTTATGAAGGCCCGGTGGCACCTAAAATACAAACAAACATCATTCTCATAACTAAGGGAAAAGTCAGGAGGAGGGAGTCGTTAAGAATATTCGACAACACATCTCTGCTTTCCTGTTTGTACTGTAGTAACATCCCTAGTTGAATACTGGTTTTTAAAACATAATAACGCACCCATGAATCACTGGTGTCTGTGCTGTTTCCAGGGGACTGTTTGCTGGAAGGTTAGATAATGTCATCGCCCTGGAAGCCTTGGGCAGGAGGAGTGACAAACACAATGGCCAACTGCAGCCAGCGGACTCATGCACCACGACCTTCTTGGAAATGGGAGGGAACAGCCTGACCCCAGGAGGCATAAGAGTCGGTGCATTCTCTCATTCCATGTGGACCTGAAAGTACTTTTAGGTATTTTATTGACATTTATGTCTCAGTTTTGCCTTTGCCACAAAATATACTGAGTTCAAAAGGAATGCCTGCTTCTCGGAAAATAATTCTTAATGACTGTGTTTAAAGAATTATAGCGGGGACACCTGCGTGGCCCAGGGGGTTCAGTGTCTGCCTTCAGCTCAGGTCGTGATCCCTGAGGGGGCCAGTAAAAATCTTTTAAAAATAATAAGAAAAAATAAAGAAGTTTAGCTCAGTTTGTTGAGTGTCCAACTCTTGGCTTCAGCTCAGGTCATGATCTCATGGGTCATGGGATCAAGCCCTGAGACCTGGTCCATGCTCAGAAGGGGACTTTGCTTGTCTTTCTCCCTCTGCTTCTCCCCCTACTCGTGCACGCACACACTCTCTCTCTCTCTCAATAAATAAGTAAAATTTAAAAAACAAAACAAAAAACCTTGGACATAATAATTCCTATCCACCCAGGACATATAAATTCAAATCAGATCTTAATATTTTAGGCAAAGAGGGATTTTAAAATTACCAAGAAAAGATCAGCTAGTAGGTCCCACCAGACATATTGACACATACATTTCTGATTATTAAAAGATGCAATATTTCAGATGGGACAACATAATATTTTCAGTATAATTATATATGTGATTATATAATCATTATGCAGTTATTAATTTACCATCAATATGCTATTATCATGCACAAAGCATTATTCTGAAGGAGGAATGTCGGACAGAAAATGGATGCACAAAACACACTTTTTCAAGGAGTTTATGCTCTGAGAAGAAAGGACCAATAACACTAGGCAGATGATATGAAGGTAACAATGAGAAACAAACTCCCCCAGGAGGGAGAGAGAGCATCAGGCTGGAGTGGCTAGGAAAATCCTCAGGAGGGTTAAGCAGGGTGCTCAGACGAGGTACAGATGGAGAAGACCAGGAAACAAGTTTTCACTGTTACGTGAGCTTTGGAGCTAAGTCTGAACTACAAGTTGGGACCAGACTGAGTATCTGAAATCACCTGTGCTCCAGTCTTGGAAGCAAACAGAACTTTTAAAAAAAATACTGTATTCGTTTGCTGGGGCTGTTGTAACAAAGTATCACAAACTGGGGCTGAAACAGCAGGTGCCTCACACTTCTGAAGCCTAGAAGACAGAGGTCAAGGTGACAGTAGGGTTGGTTCCTCTCAGGGCCATGAAGAATCTGTTTACTGGTAATCTCAAATATTCCTCAGCCTGAGGATAGGATACCCCAATTTCTGTCTTTGTGTTCACAGAGAATTCTGTTTGTGTGTGTCTGTGTCCAGATTTTTCCCTTTTATGAGGACACAGTCATTTCGAATTAGGCCCACCTTCATGACCTTACTTTAGCTCATCTCCATAAAGACCCTACCTCCAAACAAGGTCACTACTGTGAAGGACGGGAGCTTAGGTCTTCACCATATCTTTTTGGGAATACACAGTTCAACCCATTTCAACCCAACACGCTATTTCATATAGCAAGGGCACTTTTTTTTTTTATAAGTTTATTTTTGTAGTAATCTTTACACCCAGCTTCAGGCTCAAAGTCATGACCCCGAGATCAAAGTTGCCTATGCTCTTCCAGCTGAGCCCACCAGGCACCCCTGGCAAGTGCCTTTCAAAAATATTGTTGGAAGGTTCAGGTTTGGTGTTTATTCTAGCATCATGTCATGGAATAAGACAGAAAAAGTAGAAAAAGAAGTGTTCTAGCTCACTCCCTTCCATATAGTTCAGTTTTCTCTCTTGGTTTATCTGCCTTCTCACCATATGGAAATGAACAGGTGTGTTTGAGATTAGGGAATGTATTAATAACTCTCTTCATTTGTATTACAGTATATAAAGTATTTCCTAATCTCCTTTGAACTTCACAAAAATTCTCTGAGGTAAAGGGGAAATGCTGTATTCCCAATGTACAGACAAGTGAATTACCTCTGAGATGCTCCATGAAACGTTTAGGGTCCTGCTTTGGTTGAATGGGAAAAACGGCAATAAAATTTAGGTATTCTGGAACAACTGGGTGGCTTAGTCGTCTAAGTGGTTAAGCGTCTGACTCCTGATTTCGGCTCATGTTGTGGGATCGAGCCCCGCACTGGGCTCCACACTGAGCACGGAGTCTGCTTGTCCCTCTCCCTCTGCTCCTCCCCCTGCTTGCGTGCTCTCTCTCTCTCTAAAATAAATAAAATCTTTAAAAAAATAAAAATCAAAAAATTAAATTTAGGTGTTCTGGAATGTAGCCCAGATCTTGTGCATTCCATCACGATGTATCAAAACATGAGAGCAGAGCAATCACTTCTACTTGTTTATCTTCATTTGGAAAACATGTGCGCCAGACACAGCCAGCCAACTGAAGAGTATGTTGGTAAGATGATGTGAATTCTTGGTACAGGCATAAGGGGAGCTTTAAGCAGACAGCAGGCAACTGTTATCGTGGGGCTGACAGGACAGAAACTCAGGATCTGCCTCTACTTGCTGAGTTAAAGCATACATCTGTATCTGTGTGGACCCACAGAGAAGGTTCTTTGGAGGACTGAAGAGGAGTGGACTTTTATTTGGTGTGTGATTATTTCTTTGGGAAGCATGCATCTTGGATGGAGGAAGAGTTTCAAACAACAGTTTTTAAACTTTCTCTTTTCTTTTAAACTTGACTCCACGCCCACCATGGGGCTCAAACTCACAACTCCGAGATAGGGAGTCACCTGCTCTAAGCACCGAGCCAGCCAGGCACCCCAAATACATTAAATTTTTTTAAAGATTTTATTTATTCACTTGACAGACAGAGATCACAAGTAGGCAGAGAGGCAGGCAGAGAGAGGCGGGGAGGCAGCCTCCCCGCTGAGAAGAGAGCCCGATGTGGGGCTCGATTCCAGGACCCCAGGATCATGACCTGAGCCAAAAGCAGAGGCTTTAACCCACTGAGCCACCCAGGCACCCCTCAAATAGATTAATTTTAAAAATTAACTTAATCAGATGTTAGTCATGGGATCTATAGACCACATCCATCAAGGGTCTGCT